CCCGCCGGCCAATCAGGGGCGCCGGCCAGGGAGCGCGTGCGCGGCGGGGGACCCCGCCAGGGCCCGATGGTCGACTGCGCATGCGTGTTGGCAGGGTCTGAGAAGGGAGCAGGAAACGTTATCTGGATGCAGCGCCTGCGTGCTAGCGCGCAATTCTCGCCCCTCCCTCCTTTCCTCCAAAGGAGGGGGTGGGGGGATGTGCTTACTTCCATTCCGCATGCGCTGTGAGCCTACGCGTCCGTTATCGAGCCTTGGCTACGGTCACTTTCTGCGCATGCGCTCCGGCCTGCCCCCGCAAGCTTCCCGGCGCACTGAAAGGCGCATGCGCAATGTAGAAAGCGGGCCTCCCATGGGCCTGGCTGTCTGCGCATGAGCGCTGCGCTCCGGGGATCCCGCCTGTTGCTATGGCGACGCGCCTCGGGCCTGTCCCCTGAAGGGGGAGCCTCACTGTGTATTCACGGAGGGCGGGATAATGAGATACAGATGTATTCCTCGCGCGGGGCGGGGGGGGAGGTCGTGAATGTGTCAAGCGCCTCGCTGGGCGTGTCGTTTGAATATATGGAAATGAGGCCCCGTGAGGTCACAAGGCACTAACTCCTTTCCGGGAGAGCCCCGGTGGCCTCATGCAAATGTATGCAGATGAGGGGCCCGCCCGGACCCCCGATGAGCCAGGTACCGCGGTGCAGACGTGCGGAGGCGGCTGCCCCGGGAGATGAAGGACTCCGCCGGCGGCCCGGCCCGTGCCCAGGCCCGGTGCTAGGGGCGGAGGCTGGGCCTGGCGGGTAATGAGATGCAAATGTATTCACCGCCCGGGCGGGCCGACACCACCTCGGCGGGACGCGGGCCCTGGGGTGCTGCAGCATGGTAATGAGATGCAAATGTATGCCAGGCAGCCCGGGGGTCGCCCAATGAGGCGCAGGCTGCAGCCCAGTATTCAAATGAGAGGCGGAGCGGGCGCGGGGGGCGGCTGGCGGCCAATCGCAGCCCGGCAGGGCCCACCGGCCTGAGGTCCGCGCTCATGAATATTCATGTGGTGTCCGCGCACCCAGGGGGCGGGGGCAGTTTGGGGCCGGGGGTCGCGGGGTCAGGGCTGGTGTGTGAGGGGGTGGGGTG